TAAAATTATAAAAGCATTTCCTATAAAATATGCCAATACCTCTATACGTACGACCAACAAGCAAACCATCAGAACTATTCACTGATGAAGTAGCAAAACAGTCAATATCCTCATGAAACGATTTCAATAATGGCAAATCATCATTGACAAGCCAGTGCTCTTGTATGCCAACAACATCATTATTCATACAAAGATCATAAATTTGTTTTTTGACGGAATTTAAATGATTTACAATTAAAGGAGACAATCCTCAGTTGATTGGAATTAACGTTAGATTTACCATTCATCATCATGATCGATTATTCGCCCTATTGGCTCATAATACCTCCTAACTATTACAGATTGAGGCCAAAGCTTAGTATCATTAAGTGTTTTTCTTATAGTACAAAATCACATTCAACCATAAAGGATGTATAGTCGGTACGTTTACTAGGCAACGCTTTACCTTTAGCATCAATATTTTGTGCTGACTTCAGATACGAATTTATGTCGTCTGCTTTGGTGTCTGGGCTCATATTACCAACATAGATCTTAAATGGTAGAGGATCTCTACCTTTCAATTCAATGCCAACGCCTGTTCCACGCTTGAAATTGCACCGTTTGCGTTTCTTTCTTTGGTACTGAAACCCGTCATCAGTAGGCCCACTGTGAATTAAAGAAGACGATGGAGCCTGTGTGTTTCCGTTAGTAATTACATCATGATATGAAAGATCTATTATTTACTTAGTAAGTTATTTAAGTAAAGTGCATGATTTGTCATTTTAATTATTATTTACTTATACCCTCTTATATGAAAAGTTTAGACTGTCTAACCATATTAAAGTAAGTGTTGTGCTAATACTGTACATATGTGATCATCCCTATGAACGACCTAGTATAAAAGAAATATGCTGTGAAGGAAGGTCCCCTTGAAATAGAGATACCCCTGTTAAAATGACGGGGACACTTACCGTACTTAGTGTGCCAAAATCGTCAATTTAACACAGTTTTCAATAACTACCATAGGGACAATTTCGGTTTTTTTTTTTTTTTTTTTTTGGTTAGTGTCTCTTGATAAATAGGGGTACTCTTATTCAAGAGTCACACATGATATTATTAAGGGGACATTTTGGTTCCGAAAGTGTCCACTGGTAGGGATCTACTGTACAAATAAAATCGATGAATTACTGATCTGAAAACCAGTAGTTCACGGTATATTAAAACTCACTCACATAACGTTCTTTAACTATAGTCAAAATAAAACTTCCTGGGACGTTTTCTTGTGTACAACAACCATTTATAATATAAAACAGCGATCGTAAAGCAGCTTCGTCGTCACTGCAATCAAGTGGCATATAAGAGACTCGGACCAGATTGCGAACCATTTACTAAGTTGGCAGCACACATTATGCACATTGATGAGTGGGTTATAAGTTTATTATCAATCCCAAAAATAAACTGTCTGGTACACTGTTGAACGCATCTTATATATGGATATTTTGAACATAAAGACACCCTTGACCGTATCTATATCATTGTTACAAATAAAAGACACCATAATTGGATAAGAAGGCAGAAGTCTTTACCACTGTAATATCTATTATAAAGATTATCGGTCCAGCGCCCTCTCTAGTTGCTAGGGGCTACCAATATGGCTACGGTCCATCGTGTACACGGCGAAATACAACCTTGTTTATTAAAGTCAGCTTTACACGTTATCTAGTGTTCGTCGTTGTTATTTCATGGTCTCAAAGCAGGCTTAAATATTACATTGGCGACGAGGATGAACAGAATTATGCTACCCGTCCCTGGACAGCTTGATCTCACAGGTGAACAAATCCATACGAAGTGGAAGCAGTTTAAACAACACTGGGACAACTACGAACTAGCTACAGGGGTAAGCAGCAAACCGTCCGCCACTCGAGTAGCCACGTTGCTCTCTGTTATCGGAAATGAGGCGGTTGTCGTGTATCATACATTCGACTGGGAAGAAGAAGGGGACGAAAAGAAAATTGAGAAGGTATTAGAAAAGTTCAAAAACTACTGTGAACAGAGGAAAAATGTGACGTATGAGCGAAACGTTTTTTTCAATAGACATCAGGCTTCAGGCGAAACGATCGACCAATACGTCACAGTTTTGAAAACTTTGGCTGAGCCCTGTGAATTTCAAGATCTTAAAACATCATTAATTAAAGATCAGGTAATAATAGGAATAAGAAATCACAAAATTAGAGAGAAACTGTTAAATTCAGACAAGGTAGTAACTCTAGACTCTGCATTAGCTCTCATTCGTGCGCATGAGCACACAGTCATGCAATAAACATTACCAGATGGTCCAGGTAAGAGGTCTTTCAACAAAGCCTTCTGCAGATCAATATTTAATGATTTGTACTCCTGTCTCTTATACACATCTAGATGTGTATAAGAGACAGATACCGGACATTGTAAAAAGCGATAACGGACCTCCATTTAATGGTTTTGAATTTTCGCAGTTCGCAGAGTATATGGGTTTCTCGCACAAGAAATGTACTCCATTGTGGCCACGTGCCAACGGTGAAGCAGAACGCTTCATGCGTACGCTTGTCAAGCTAGTACACACAAGTACTGCATCTGAAGTTAACTGGAAACAGGAACTTTGGACATTTCTTCGCCAATATAGAGCTACACCTCATTCAACTACGGGCAAATCGCCTAGTGAGGCTCTCGATGGAAGAAAACTTAAAACAACTCTTCCACAAGCTAAAGATAAATCGATAGGCATACATCAAAGCATCCGCGAAAAGGACAGAAAGAAGAAAGCCGCAATGAAAGCCAATGCTGATAAACACTTACACGCTAAACCAACAACCATAAACATCGGTGACAAAGTACTCATTAAGCAGAAACGTAGAAATATGCTCGACCCTCCATTTAATCCGGAACCTTTTGTTGTCGTCGAAAGGAAGGGAAATTGTATAACAGCACAACAAGGCGAAATTTCTGTCACCAGAAACTGTACCTTTTTCAAGAAACTAGTGAACATGCAAAATAAAGAATGCATAACGGAAAACGAATCACAACCAACCACCAGAGCACCAATAACCAAACCGCAGCTAACTCCAACTCGACGCTCTACTAGAATCAAGAACCTCCCATAAGCTTAAATGACTATGTGACGGAATAATGAACATTTCTATTTTAAACATAAGCATATCACTTCTAAAATTCTGAAAGGAAATTTGAACTGTTGTTTTGAATTCAGAAATATTGATATTTAAAGTTGTTGTTAAAGCACTGAGTTTAAGTGCACTGTTTAGAACTTAGAAAAATTAGTTTAGAACTTGTTTGATGAGCTGTGCTCATGTGTTTAAATTTTAAAGTTAATTGACGAATAACAAAAAATATATACACATTAGACACTGTAATCTGAATGCCAGCTGTTTATTGTTAATCTGCTTAAGAAATATACTAGTCACATCATTACATAACAGAAGACAAATATATACTGTAATCATCTAAAGCTAATTTAAATTCAATCTAAACAAAGGGAGGGATGTAATATCTATTATAGAGATTATCGGTCCAGCGCCCTCTCTAGTTGCTAGGGGCTACCAATATGGCTACGGTCCATCGTGTACACGGCGAAATACAACCTTGTTTATAATTAAAGTCAGCTTTACACGTTATCTAGTGTTCGTCGTTGTTATTTCATGGTCTCAAAGCAGGCTTAAATATTACAACCACCAAGTTACATATTTACTCTAGTATTCTGAATATTATATTTGCAATTACTAGAAAATACTACTCATTGATATATCGGTAATTTTTCTCGTTTGCTCTCTTTTAAGGTATTTGTCTGATAACGCGATATTTGGTGTAAAAATTAATACATTCACTGATCTAACAAGACTTCGAACGTTGTAAGTGTAAATCCACAAGTTATGATGTATCAGTTGTTGAGATCTTGATAGTCCACGCAAGTCTCATACTATTAAATATTGTTTATATGCTTGTGTCATTGTTTGCTGTGTTATTAGGTAATTATTATCTTAGTTTAATTGTGGGATAATAAAAAACACTCTTGGCTAAATGGAAAAAAGGATTAGCCTTATCTGGTGATTAATCTCTTATGTTTTCGACTGATGCACATTTATTTTATAACGTTATGCCATAAATTATATAGTGGGCTACGAATAATGTTTTATTTCATGATTTTGAACATTTTCACGCTTTTCCCTTTAAAATTGGCAAAGTACTTACGAAGATATAATATTAATCATTGTTTTTGGTAAGGTTTTGGTCAGCTATTCGATATAATACCCTACACCCCTCTGCTATTCGATATAATACCCTACACCCCTCTGCTGATAACCATTCAAGAAAAGGCCTGACTTATCAGCTATACAGAGAAACGTGGTACGAAATGAATAGAAACGCGTTCAAGAAGTGGTACCGTGTTTTGAGGCGATAGGTCTAAGCCTAGGTATTTTTACACAGTTTTCAAGAAGATGGAATTGTTTAATTAAGGAAATTGTTCGTTCTGATTAACACTTTTTAACCAGAATAGCAATGGGTCAAAACAGCAATAAACCAAAAAAAAAAAAATAATAATAATAATAACAATAATAATAATAATAATAATAATAACAATAATAATGGGCGAAACACAATCTAAAAGCAGTAGACATTTAAATAATTTAAAATTTAAAATAGTGACAAAATGATTATATAATGACATTAATTAAAAATAATAATAATGAAACAGTACAGTAGTAGTAATAATAAGAAGAAGAAATAGGCCTTATAACAATATCACAAAATACAAATTAAATAATAAAAATAAACACAATAATATCAGTGAACGTTCAAATAAATAAAACTTGAAAATACAGACACAAAAAAAATATACCCGATATGTCATAAAAGTTTATTGCCGTTTTGAACTGAGACCCTCCTTAACGGATTAACAACTGTATTAAACTAAATCCTTGACAAAGCGTCAGCCACTACATTATCTTTTCCACTTATATGGCAGATATCTAAATTCCACTCCTGCGATGCCAAGCTCCATCTGAGTAATCGCAGGTACTTGTTTTTCATCTTCTCAAGAAACGTTAACGGATTGTGATCTGTAGACATCTTAATCTTCTGAGAAGCTGCTCCCAAGTACATCTCAATGTTCTGTAAGGTCAACACTAATGCTAGGGTTTCCTTTTCCACCGTTTAGTAACAGTTTATCAAATTTCTTTGAGAAGCAGACTGGTGTTTTAATTTCACCATCATCCATCTGCATAAGTGCTGCACCAGATCCGATGTCACTAGCAAATATCATAAGAGAAAATGGTTTAAAGAAATATGGGGCTATCAACACCAGCTCACCAGTCAATATCATCTTCAACATGACTGATCGCATCCTACACTCATTTGACCACTGATTTGTCACATTCTTCGCAGAAGACTTTCAGGGGTGCCACTAACGAAGAGAAATTCTTACAAAATCTTCTATAGTAACCTGTCATTTCCAAGAATTTCATTAACGTCTTATCCGTTGGGACTGGGAAGTTCTGTTTTGGCATGTACTGCTTTCAATTTACCACACCAACGACGTGTCCCAAAAACACTACTTATGTATCTTCTCTTCAAAAGAATTCCTATTCCTGTATTTAAAAACAAATTTCAATTCAAAAAATCATAATTCAATGTTTCTTATATATATCTTATATGAGGCATGTCGTGGCGAAATGGTTAAGTTGTCGCACAGGCCTGTATTGAGTAAATGAGCTATAATATGGGAGCTCAAAAAATTGCCTAAAAATCCAAATTTGTTTTTCATTTTAAATCAACAGATTAATGTCTTATTAATCATGTACCAAAGTATTAGTTCTGGAAGTGGTCAAGAAATTGTTTATTTAATGTTATTTTTATAGTTCATTCTATTAAACAGTGTATGCACAAATAACTTTGAAAGGCAATTACTCAAAATCATGTTTATCTTGATTCTAAAGTACTGTACATTCACTTTCCAATAACTTAGGCTTGTCCAATTTCAATGAATGACCCCTCATTTTAAAGATCACATACTCAGGTATCTGAAAATACCAATAGCTTGAATTTCAATTTTTGCTACAACTTAGCCATTTTGCCACAACATGCCTCATATATCGACAGCAAGCGAGACATGTCTTCATTTGTATAGCATCTTGGTCGCTAAAAAAAAAAAAAAAAAAAAGAAGAAAAAAAGCAATATAGTAGATATCGTGATCGGTTACATAAGGAGTATTAATTACAAATTATGGAAATCATACCGATTATACAGATTATCAGTTTCATGACCAACTATCATCTTGTTTTGTTCACGGCAAATTCCACTAGGCAACGTGCAATCAAGTTATTTACGGTGCTAATCAATTCATTGATACAAGTGATAAAAGTATCATGGCTGTTAACATTTTAAAGGGGATGAATAAATGTATATCATGCGGTTAAGAATGACAATGATAATAATGATGTCATTGAAGATCCAATTCAATTATAAAGATCACTTTGTTATTTCTCTTTTAAGGAATCTGAGATTTAACAGAATAACTACTTTAACGCAAGGTGGCTTCAGTGGTTTGACAAGTCTTCAATATCTGTAAGTGACAATCGAAAATTTATGAATATAACAATGTAAGTTCTGTATTACATCATCCCTTATATCAAGTCGTAAAACATACCACATAAAAGAACTTTTGATTGCACGAAGACGGCTATAGGATGTAGAACGCAAGTACGTCACATAAAGTTACCTGCGCATGCGATTTCTTTAAATGATCGTTGTCTTATTTCGTGGGTTTGTTTTGGGCGATCTGAAAGTTTCCACTGGTAGGGATCTACTGTAGGAATAAAATCGATGAATTACTGATCTGAAAGCCAGTAGTTCACGGTATATTAAAACTCACTCACATAACGTTGTTCAACTATATTCAAAATAGAACTTCCTGGGACGTTTTCTTGTGTACAACATTTCTAATGCAACAGCGATCGTAAAGCAGCTTCGTCACTGCAATCGAGTGATTTTTAAGGGACTCGGACCAGGATATTGCGAACCATTTACTAAGTTGGCAGCACACATTATGCACATGTGGCATCCGTATATAATTTTAAGAGTTGATGAGTGGATTATAATTTTATTATCAATCCCAAAAAAGAACTGTCTGGTACACTGTGGAACGCATCTTATAATATGGATATTTTGAACATAAAGACACCCTTGAACGTATCTATATCATTGGTGTTACAAATAAAAGACAGCATAATGGGATAAGAAGGCAGAAGTCTTTACCAAAAAGTACATTTTTACTGTAGTATTCTGAATATTATATTTGAAAATTACTAGAAAATACTACTCATTGATATATCGGTAATTTTTCTCGTTTGCTTTCTTTTAAGGTATTTGTCTTATAACGAGATATCTCGTGTAAAAAATAATTCCTTCAGTGATCTAACAAGACTTCGAAAGTTGTAAGTGCAAATCCACAAGTTATGGTGTATCAGTTGTTGAGATTTTGATAGTCCATGCAAGTCCCATACTATTGAATATTTTTTATATGCTTGTGTCATGGTTTGCTGTGTTATTACGTGATTATTATTTTACCTTAACTGTGAGATAATAATTTTAAAAAAAAACACTCTTTTCGCAGAAACTTTACAATCGTAACCTGTTGACGATCCTCAACTAATCTTTATTTATAAACTGAAATGATTATAATGATAGCAAAAATAATGTTAATGTCAATGTCATTAGTTTTGTCAGAGGAAATTTTAAATATATTGATTTTTAATCTACTAAATAAATCCAGTAGAGTAGATGCAATACATTTTAAAGGGATACTATTTTTCCCCACCCACCAACATTCAGATGGTAATACATATTGAACGTCGTCTTTAATCTATTTTTTTATAATCTAAGGTTTTATACTTGTCAATAGTGGGAATAACAAATCACTGTGCATTTTCCAATATATTTAATTGTGAATACGTTTTAACAATGCAATCGTATGCATTTAATGCCCTCTATTATAGACCAAGTCTGTTATGATGGATAAAGAGTGGAGTTTATATATTGTAGTTTGAGAACAAATCCAGGTGTGAATAGGATTCAGAGTGTTAATAAAATAACTGTAGGTTACACGCTATTCTTTTGTTTAAAATGATTTATATTTCTTAAATAATAATAATAATCGTATTGTTTATTCTAATAATTACATTTTTTAAGGAATTTGCGCGGTAACAAATTAACTGATCCTAATAAAGGTACCTTCAATGGTTTGAAAATGTTAATAATTTGTTCTTGAACTTTAATTAAGGTGCTTACATATCAATCGATCACAAACCACTCTATCAATTCACATATTATTGACAATACTCCACATGAGTTATCGATAAATAACATATTAACCAGTAACTG